CTGCCCCTCGCTGCAGCGTCTGCTGCCCTCACTGCAGGGCCCCGATGCCCAGGGGCTGTGGCAGGCGCTGGAGCTGGACTCCGCACTCCCTGTGTGGGCATTGGGGGCTGCCCGCTCCCACTGCTGTTGAGCCTYCAGGCCAAGGGAAAAGCCCCAGCCACTCCAGTGGGTTCCCCAGGTGCAGGGCAGGGGTGCCCCGAGGCCGGGTGATGGGCTGCGGATGCAGCTGGCCTCAGAGATTCTCCCAGGAAAGTCAAGAAGCAGGGGCGTGAGGAGGGGGACACAAACGAAAACATCCTCCCTGCCATGACCTCCTGACACCCGCACCAGATGGTCCCCGCACCGGGAAGCACTCAGCGGGGCCCATGTGGCCCGGAGAAACCAGCTCCAAGGAAGCGGCAGCAACRATGGCTCCGGGGTCCAGCTGCACCGGGTCCCCCGGGGTTCCCCCCTTCCTCTGCATCCTTTAGGCCATGGCGCGCACCCTTCGCTCTGCACCACAGCGCTCGACAGCTGCTGCCGCAGAGCCCGTCGGCTCCCGGCACCGCCGCGGCTGCCAGGGAGGAGGGAAAGCCATAAAACAGGCCGTTTGCACAGCCGGGGACGGAGGAGGGGTTATCTAGTCCAGTGCTCGCGCATCAGTAGCAACTGCGTGGAAGCCAAGCGGCTGCTTTGGGCGTTCATTTGGGAGGAACCGTGCAGCTATTTTTGGGTAGCAAGAAGGGAGCGCAGCGGCAGCCTTTCCTGCAACGCCATGGGTGCATTTGAGGCTGGTTGTGCCTGAGCCGGGACCCCCAGCTTGGCCTGTGGTGAGGCCGGCGGAGCCCGCGCTGGGCCCAGGCCACAGGGGAGAGCTCGTCCCTATGGAGCACTGGGGTGTGCGGGCACCAAGGCCCGGCCTAGTGGGGCAAGGGAGGGCTACAAAAGCTGCAAGGTTTCCTCACCGCTCCCCTACAGACATTGAAGGAACAAGTTGGTTTTTGTAGCTATCCTCCTGAAATCTCTTACCCACTACTGTAGGGTTTAAATATGCAGATCATCAAGAAATGGTTATGACCTTCCACCTCCTACCACTGTACACAGTAAGGAGCCTTTCCTTCTCCAAAGTAGAGCCAGATCTGTGTTAGTCCTGATACAGGATTGACCTACAAAAAATAGTTGTAGGAGAGAACTTGTAACTGTCTACATGGCACTCTCTGGCTGTACCAGACTGGAGACTTTCTCTGGTGACCTCAGTGTCTGTCTTCTTTGGATCATTCATGGCCAACCTTAGTATTTAACCTCCTTTCAGCCTCTTGTCCCCATTTTGTTTCCAACCCCACTATACCCAGGAATCTGCAAGGAAATCAGCCCCCGATCAGGCATATTTTGGATCTCCAACAGTCTTAATTGCATGGAAATGGGACAGGGGTTAAACAGATCCTCACTTGGAAAAAAAATCTAATTAATGACAATCCTCCGAATCACTGGAAGTGGAAGAGTAGGAGGCTGCTGTGGAGGCTTGGATGTCACGACCCTCTCTGTTGGAGCCGCATCAAATTTATCCGAGGAGATGGATGATCTACTACTTCCCCTGATGAAACTGCAGCCAAGAGGGATCCATCACTCCGGCTAAGAACAGCATCTTAAATGTCTCCAACGAGGTCGTAATGCTCAGATTGATTAGCTCCTGCTGTCTCAGTGGAAACTGCCCTGCTGCTTATTAGTGACCAGGCTTCAAATAATTTTTGAATCAAATACTATTTAAAAGATATTTCAAAGTACTTGACAAAATTAATCATTTAATTTCAAATTACTGCCTGCATTTTGTGTTAAATGGTTGAAGGGTGAAGCAGGTACCAGTCTGGGAGCTGAGCCTGGGAGTGGGGCTGCCTGGCTCTGCCAAGTTCTCTCCAGCCCCATAAAYCCCCACCTCTTGGCTGAGCCATTAACCACAGTGCAGAAGAACCTGTGGCTATTATTCCTTTCCCCTTTCACAGCAGCTTACAGCTCAGTGTATAATAGCCCACTCTCCAGGGAGGTGGCACCAGGGACTTGGTTTTSCTCTGCGAGGGAAGCAGGATTTTCATTTGCAGTTCAGTCATGGACAGGGAGTGCTCTCGTTTCTAACTCGGTGGTAACTGAGCCCAAGAAAACTTGTTAGGTTCAATGCTTCAGGAAGCCTCTTTCGCCCTGTCCCAGCACTTCTGCCACAGCACTGAATCAGACCAGACTGAGTAGCTGCTCTTTGTCAGGTACTTCTGACTAGGCAAGAAACACTGCAGTAATGCAGATYCCCATCTCTAGCATCTGTGTTTAAAGGATTATTTTTTATTTAAAATAATTTTTGAAAGAAAACATCCCTGCTTTTTTGAGTGTGGCCATTTCCAGCTCCTTCAGACACTTTGGAAGAGGCTAATAAGGAGCTGGACGTGCTCCAAGAGCCAAGGGGCATCAGAGGGGGGACAGGCACCACAAATCTGCTTGAATTCCATGTTAACCGCCTAAATACTGTACCAACTTCTGGCTTAGCCAGACTCTCAAGGCAGTGAGTGCTTCTGTTAGGGTAGTGCTGCAAGGTTGGATGAGGGGAGAGCCGTGGATGTTGCCTACCTTGACTTCAGCGAGGTTTTTGACACTATCTCCTATAATATCAACATAGGGAAGCTCAGGGAGTGTGAGTTGGACTCTYGGGATGGATGAGGGGACAGTGGGGTGGACTGAGAACKGGCTGGATGGCAGAGCTCAGAGGGTCATGATAAATGGGGCCGAGTCTAATTGGAGGCCTGTGGCCAGTGGTGCTATCCATGGCTCTGTACAGGGCCCAGTCCYGTTCAACTTGCTCATCAATGACTTGGATGAGCGCACAGCGTGCACCCTCAGTGGATGATACCAACCTGGGTGGAGCGGCCAACACTCCAGAGGGCTGTGCTGCCATTCAGGGGGACCTAGAGAGGAACCTCATGAGGTTCAACAAGGACAAGTGCAGGGTCCTGCACCTGGGCAGGAATAACCCCAGGCACCAGTACAGATTAGGGGTCGACCTGCTGGAGAGCAGCTCTGCAGAGAGGGACCTGGGAGTCCTGGTGGACACCAAGTTAACCATGAGTGAGCAGTGTGCCCTCGTGGCCAAGAAGGCCAATGGGATCTTGGCTGCATGAGGAGGAGTGYKGCCAGCAGGTCAAGGGAGGTGATTCTGCCCCTCTACTCAGCTCTGGTGAGGCCGCATCTGGAATATGGGGGGCAGTTCTGGGCTCCCCARTKTAAGAGGGACGTGGAGTTACTAGAGAGGGTCCAATGGAGGGCAACAAAGATGATTAAGGGACGAGACCATCTCTCGTATGAGGAGAGGCTTGAGTTGGGCCTGTTTAGYCTGGAGAAGAGAAGGCTGAGAGGGGATCTGATTAACACGCAGAAGTACATGAAGCGGAAATGCAGGGAGGAAGGGACCAAGCTCTTCTCACTGGTGGCCAGTGACAGGACAAGGGTAATGGGTGTAAGTTGTGACACAGGAAGTTCCATCTCCAGGTGAGGAGGAACTTCTTTCCTGCGAAGCTGCCAAAGCCCTGGCACAGGCTGCCCAGGGAGGTTGTGGAGTCTCCTTCTCTGGAGGTCTTCCAAACCTGCTGGCTGCCACCCTGTGCCCCGTGCTCTGGGTGTCCCTGCCGGAGCAGGGTGGGTTGCACTAGATGATCTCTAGAGGGCCCTTCCAACCTCAGCCATTCTGTGATTCTGTGACTGTACAAATCTGCAATCACTTACAACAAAGAAAGTAAGACTCCTTTGAATAATAAGCTGTGATATAAATATATTTACACTGTATGTATTTTTACAGGAAGTACTTTACATCTCATTAAAAATTCTTAGTAACATCATGACCCTGTAATTGATTACAGCAACAACTACAGTTCTTGGATTTTCAAGATTTTTATTAGAGAAGTTGAAAGTTTCATCTCAGGACTGACAATAACATAATTATCTCTTTCTGTTT